TTAAATAATATTTAAACAATACATGTTAGTTTATTAATTTTTTCACATAAGTAATTAAGTCAAATTTTTAGTACATGTTTAATTGCACGTTACACACTTTGATTTCCAGAATGAATCAAAAAGACACACAGTGTATGTAAGAAAAAAAAATCCTTAAATAAAGATGTGTGAATAAGAACAATGTTTTAAAAACACTATCGTAAATTTAACATTTACTATAAAAAAATAAAGGGGTAAAAATGAAAATTATAAAATATTTTAAAGTCAAATAAGACATTAATAAATTAAACTGAAACCTAAAAGTCTGAGTTATTACAATCGTTTAGTAATTGAGAAATCAGAAATTTCCATTTTGGTCACATTAATTATATATTAATTAGTGCTTAAATAATGATTTATTTTCTCAAACTTCTTTTATTTATACAGTAGTCTCTCGCTACTTCGTGGTTCGACTTTTGCAGACTCGTTCTTTCGCGGATTTTCAAATTAAGAGTGGACACGACGCACAATTGGCTGATTGATGGATGAGCCACATGAGTGGCATGGATTGTTTATTTAAAATCAATTATTTTTAATGATGTAGCACCTGTGTGCAGCCCACAGGTGCAGGGAGAAGCTCCCTCTGCAGCCTGTCATGATCTCCGCTCTCTGCCACCTGCGACTCTCTGCCACGCCCACTTTTCTGCTCAGTGCTGCAGAAGCTTCACGAAGGGTTAACCCTTTGCTGTCCAGCTGCACCGATCGACTTTTGTCTTCCAACTTAAAATTCAAAGTCTGCCACATCATACAATCATCATAATCACAAAATATAAAAGTTATTTTTCTATTTATTTTAGAACTTCTATGTTCAGTTGTTACAGTATAATTGATCAAGAAGTACATTTCTGCTCTGTGCTGCAACAGCTGCATGAAGGGTTAACCTTTTGCTGTCCTGCTGCTCTTCTCTTCTCTACAATTTAAATTTAACGTCCAATATTTTAAATAAACAATCCATGCTGCATGGATTGTTTATTGGATTGAAGGAGGGACATTGGGAGTGAAACTTGAACATGGACTACCGTATTTTTTGGACTATAAGGCGCACCTGATTATAAGGCTCACTGTTGATTTTTTTTAAATTAAAGGATTTTTAAGTGTGCCTTATAGTCCGAAAAATATGGTATTGTATTCCTACTTCACGGTTTTCCACTTATCGTGGGTGGTGTGGTCCCCTAAACCCCGAGATAAACGAGGGACTACTGTATTATATTTGGAATTGTTAGTTCCTTTTGTCCTCAGTGTGAACGTGACTTCGAATACTTCTTGAACAGAACACGCCTGAGGCAGGTTCACCTTGTTAACACAACCAGCTGCTTTTTTTTTCCTTTCAACTCTCAATATAAAGAGGCCTAAAGTCTTATCTCAACATTAAAGCTTTCCACAGGCTATTTTGGCACAAGACTGCTCGTGAAATTCATCCTTAACTAAAGACAGATTCTCTTTATTTCAACAATACCGGTTCCACAGCGTTCTTTAGGAGTCATCCATGATTGATAGAGCTCTGCTGACAGGTGTACAGTGAAATCAGGAATGACGGTATGTTTATATAACACAAAACCAGCTGAACCACTCGCTTGTTACCTGAGATTATGTATTCTAGGTGTTATTTCCGTCACAGTTTTTTCTTCTTCTCCCATCCGGTTTTTAAATGAAATGAAACCAGCATCAAGAAACCTAAGGAGGCACGGAGCAGAACTCAGCTGTATTAACGTGGAGCACAGCGTGTTTCAATTCAATTCAGCCTTTATTTATACAGATAAATCACATTGATCCTCGAAGACTCTTTTACAAGTGAGACCTGTTTAGACAGACAAAAAAGTTGTGAAAGTAACAACATGCAGGATTTGGAGGCAAAAAAAAATCCAAACACCACGCACACATAAGCACACGGTGACGTAGACATTCCACAGGGGAGGGAAGATGACAAGGGTGGTGAGCATGTCCAAGGATACTCCCGGAGGCACTGTAGGAGTTCTGATAAGAATGGAATAATCAGCCAGTTCCCTCTGGTGCGATCCGTAAACATTTTCGGGGGGTGTCGAGGTTGGTCAAGGACAGCGCCAGAGAGAATCCAAGAGTCCTGAAATGATGACACAATGTTTATTCAGCCGGTTACCCCCTGATAGGTCCGTAGATTTCCTCTGTGGGAGGGGAGGGGGCGTTAAATGTGTGACAGACGTCTGCCTCACATCGTTTAGAAAAACATGAATTTACTCAGTTTAGCAATTCTCTTTGTGAATACACCCTTGGTAATACAGTAAATCTATTTGTTGTTGTTTAACCCCGCGACCAAGTGGTCGCACAGACCGGATGTCATCAGTTCATCACATTACTGAGCCGCAGCACCAGCTTACATTTTCACACATTAGCCATTTCGACTTTGTTACAACCTGGTCCGTATCTGGCTTTGTTCGTTTTTAAAAAGTGTACTCCAGTAGATAAAATCAGGAATGTGGAGGCAGATGCAGAGCTGGGTCCAAAGCAAGCCGAGTAAGATGTAGACAGGGGTGGAGAACAAAACAATATCCACGGCCTAGAATACAGTTGCACTCGAAATAAAAATAATATTAATCTGGCCGCCTAACAGACGGGTGCACGGATCGCAAAATTTGTTTTTTCTCAAGCCACATTTGAGTCACTCCAGCAGTCGCAACCCATGAGATAATATTTATATTTGGACCCAGATTGCTTGTTAAATTTCATCAGAACAATATTTTCCACTGCGCTTGTTTCGTAGCCTTTACGAAACTTTTCCATATTTTCCTTCTGCTTGTTCCCAGCTGTGGGATGGCAACTTAAACAACTGAGCGCATTTTAATGAAACTCAGCAAGTATCTTATTGATGTATTTGTGCACCTGATTATATTTAGTATTTTTATTTAACCTGTTATTTATCCAAGTTGGTCAATGGAACACATTCTCATTTACAACAACCTGGCCAAGAGGTTGCAACAAGGTTTAGATAAAAACAACAGTCACATACAATATGTATAGCTTTTCCAACACCAAACACATAAAAGCATAAAGATTGCTCTGATACAAGTCATAAATATAAAAATGCATCACAGTATTTCCTGTACATTAAATAGTAGGACAATCAAGTGGATGAAGAGCAGGTGCACTGATCAGAAACTAGCGATTGTATAGAATCGGTTAACTTTTAATGTCGGTGCATATCATGATGGCCTCCATAGCTAATCCATCTTAGGTGAGAAGGCTAAACCTCTATCAGTTTTAGAGATAATGAGCTAAAGATTGATGTGGTAGTAGCTGAGAGTCCCTTCTAACATGTACTCTGAGCGTTAACAGATTGTGGAAGGTTTCTTAAAACAACTTGTTTTTTAACATTTGACCATAAAAAGATAAACCTCTTAATATAATCTTTGTTTAAAACTCAGGCGGCGATCGTTATGCGTTCATTCAAGGAATCCTAATTAGTTTTCCCCTTCACCCTGCAGTCATCTCAGATATCTGATTCTCTTGTCTTGTTCAACTTTACTGTGCCTCTTCCACACATTGGTTCACCTAAAACAAAAGGCGGACAAGCGTTGGTGAACATGTTTTTTTTTTTTTCCTTCCTGCTTTTCAGGTGAACTTCAACGAGCCAATTTCCATGCTGCAGCGTTTGTCCGAGGACCTTGAATATCACGAGCTGCTGGATAAGGCCGCCAAGTGCCACAGCTCTCTGGAGCAGATGTGCTACGTGACGGCCTTCTGCGTGTCCGCCTACTCCACCACCGTCTACCGCACGGGAAAGCCCTTCAACCCTCTGCTGGGGGAGACATTTGAGCTGGACCGCCGAAGGGAAAGCGGCTACCGCTCCCTTTGTGAGCAGGTAAAAAAAAAAAGAAAGTTGCTCCAAAAGTAAAGGGGAATTAGTAAGAAAATGAAAGCAAAATCCTTCTGAAGAAGAATAGGAAGACTGATTTGTTTCCTACATTTTCCTTTTTGGGGTGAAATGTTACAGGAATTGCTCAAATTTCCCCCTGGGATTAATAAAGTATCGATCTATCTCCATCCATTCGTCCGTTCATCTATCTAGCTATCTTGCTATCTATCGACCGCTATCTATCTACCGCTATCTGTCTACTGCTCTCTGTCTGTGTATCTGTCTCTATATATCCATCCATCCTTCCATCATCCATCCATCCATCCGGAATTAGAATGCATGAAAGGCAGTTTTGCTTGTAGAGACCTCTAACTCTAATAAAAATAGTATTTGTTAGATGTAATCAGAAATGTACGTTACAAATATTTATGTGTGTGTGTGTTTTTTTTTTTTTTTTTTAAGATATTTGAATGTTGTTTTTTTTATTATTTTGTAGGAGGATGCAGATTTAAGCAGCTGTAGATTTTCGGGGGACAATTCTTTAATCCTGATATCGATGAATGCTTGGATTTGAGATTTACTTCCATTTCCAGCGCTTTAGTTTAAAAAAAAATATATTTTCTCATCAGAGAAACTCATAGAGAAGAAAACATAATTCAGAACCTTGTAGGGACAGGACACACATTCAAGCAGAGGCAACTCAGGTGAAGCGAGGCCTCGAGCGCATTTCTTTTGTTAAACCATGTGTGCTTCTCTCTTACAGGTGAGTCACCACCCGCCGGCAGCGGCTCATCATGTGATATCTGAACGTGGCTGGACTCTGAGGCAGGAGATCACCGTTGCCAGCAAGTTTAGAGGAAAATACTTGTCCATTATGCCTTTAGGTGAGTTTTGCAAAGGATCATATGAGGCATGTTTCGTTAGCAGAATGAGGGTGTGATACTAATACTGCCATCTTAAAAGCTTTGACGCACAAAAGATGTACGAGAAAATGTTCAGAATGTTTTGAAAAGGACACACCTGTGCTTTAATGCAGGCATTCTCTGTCATGCACTGTCTAAACATATTAAAGCTCTTGTTTTTTGCAATACCTGTTTTCTTGCAGGCACAATACATGCATCCTTTGCTAAGAGCAACAATCACTACACGTGGAAGAAAGTCACCACCACAGTGCACAACATTATTGTAGGGAAGCTATGGATCGACCAGGTGAGATTCGTAGCAGCATGCAGAGCTCAAAAGATCTGAACAGAAGCCAGGTGATGCTGAAAAACCTGTTGAAGTTAAGTGGTCTACATCTTATGTGCCAAGTCATTATACCCTCATTATACAATCTGCTGTGACTCAGCAGTCATGACCCAACAGACCACAATTTCAGCCTCACCATGCTCCATAGTTCAGTCAGAAATGGAAAATCTTTGCATTTTTACCTTTTTTTTTTTGGTCCCCTGTCGCGGAGTGAATAGGCGACTTGGAAATGTGTTTATTCGTGTGGTTCATCTTGTGAGCCGCATGACTTAGAAAATAAATTAAGAACCGACTTCCATTTTGGTGTGTGGCTGCATCTAGGTGTAAGAAAGGTTACGTTTTAAATTTGGGTTGCCACATTAATATCCAAGATGGCTACCGCCACATACCGGTATATGTAAAACAGTCATCCCTATCATTTAAGGAAACTATGCTTTCTTGTTTTTATATTTTTATAAATGTATGGTTTATGCAAATTATCAGGGTGGCCAAAGATTAATCTATGGTGGCCAAAGATCCACCATGGACCACCCCCTGGCTCCGCCATTGCACCTGGTGGTGGTGGACTCTGCACTGCCTCGGACAAGAAAAGAGTGTCTTGCATCCAAAACATTAATGTTTACTTGCATTCAATTAATCTTGCCAATAAACATTCACTATTAAAATCCTTCAGAGATGGGGGACACCGGCGAACCGCTTGTTATGTTCTTCATGTAGCAGCAAAATACATTTGGCTGCACTGGTACAAAGATGTGACCTGTGGTGGCAAAATGAATATGAATGAGCTCGAGCTGTAGTGAAAAAAAAACTTTATAACACCGGTGTTCATAAAGACGCAGTATAGCCATCTCTGTGTTTCAAATGGCTTATCATCTAACTAACTACTGTTTATTCCAAGTTTTCTAACAGATGTGTTTTTTAGAAATAATAATTTTAAATTTATTCCTTTGGAATTGACCATTTTCTTCTCTGCCGGCTCACTTAACACTGGGAAATCCCTTCATATAATGTTTGACATCATTGTGAAGCTTGGGGATTCCCCTTTTTAAAGCTGAAATTCCAGAAGACATCACTTCAGACCCATAACAATCAAGTTTTCAAACCAGCACTCATATAAACATCTTTTCCATATCAGGACATCATGTTGTTAGTTAATGAACAAAACAAAGCCAAAATGGAAAATCTGTGCTTCAAAAAGCTTAGTCCACCCCATGGTTCAACAGCTTATAGATGTGATACCAAACCTGTGAATGATCTGAAGTTGTTTGGCGTTATGACATATCTGTCATCAAAGTACTAGTGATCAAATAAACCTGTTCGAATTATTGACGGGGATTTCTGTTTTCCTTTCAGTCTGGGGAGATCGATGTCGTGAACCACACCACAGGAGATCGCTGCCACCTGAAGTTTGCACCTTACAGCTATTTCTCCAGAGACGTAGCCAGAAAGGTTAGAAAGACCAAACTACCTTTCCGCGTATGAATTTTTCTCTAACTCATTCCTCGTTTAAATTAAACATTTCTGTCTTTGGTGTTTGTAGGTGACGGGTGTGGTGATGGACAAGGATGGAAAGGCCCACTACGTGCTGTCAGGCACGTGGGACGAGAAGATGGAGTTTTCCCGGGTGATGCAGAGCAGCCGAGGAGGAGAGAACGGCACCGAGGGCAAACAGAAGACGGTTTATCAAACCCTCAAAGCCAGAGAACTGTGGAAGAGAAACCCTCTACCGTAAGTGTTGTTACTGCAAAACCTACACCGTGAACACCTCTCCACCTCACCTGTTACTCCTTCAGAGAGCTCACAGGCATCTTGTTGGCCTCTGTCACTATCCTCCTTCTTGCGCTGTCTCAGTTTGTGAGCGCGGCCTACTCCTGGTAGATTTACCCATGTTCCAGATTCCTTCCATTTCTTGATGATGGATTTAACAGAACTCCTGGGGATGCTTGGAAATCCTTTTGTATCAACCCTCTGACTTGTACTTATTAATAACCTCTTCTCTGAGTTGAATTAGGACAGCCACTTATATATATATATATATATATATATATATATTTGGGTGGGGTGAATATTTATGACTTATTTTACATTAAATATTTTATTTAATTGGTATTAACGCTGTAGAAATTTGATTTCATATTGGCGATGGGGAAAGTCAGACACCACCTCTGCCCCCAACTTTCTGTTTCTGAGGCTGCTTCAGAAAGAGAAAGAAGGGAGCAGGGGTGGGGTCTGTCTTTCCCCATCGCTACTGCTCAGGGAGCAGGGATGAGTAGATCAGATGAACAAATGTAGAATATCAGAGAAAAAGCTTAGGTGGAAAAATAAGAGTGAATCAGTTTAAAAAGAGGGAGAGAGTAGCTGAGTGCAGCTCACTCGGGTATAAGGCAGACCCCCCTGCCCCCTACTTTCTCTTTCTGAGACTGTCTGTCACAAGCACAGCGGAAAAAGAGAAAGGAGGAGGCAGGGTCTATCTTTCCCCATCGTGTCCCAAAGACACAATAGGTGGACACACAACAGACAACCTCGGAAGAAGAAAGGAGGGGACGGGGGTCTATCTTATACCTGAGTGAGCTGCACGAGTGGCATGGATTGTTTATTAAAAATAATCAAGCGTGACCCGAACAGAGCCTTTTGTCCCCCTTGGCTATCACTGAGCGGGCCAGGCCACCAGGAAATGTCCCAGTGCTCCCGATGGCCAGTCCGCCCCAGCGATTGGCTCAGTAACCGTAGCATCAGTCTATCTGCTCTCTTTCGCTGTGCGTTGTGTGTTTAGAGAGTTTATAACATTGTTAAGAATGTTGCAAGAGTGTGGGAAGGATTTATAAAGCTTTAAAATATATATAAATACTAAAATAAATATAACGTACCTACTCACAGATTTTCACCTATCACAGGGGTGTCTGGAACGCAACCCCCGTGATAATCAAGGGACTACTGTACTTTTATAGGCACTGTAACAGTTACACACAACCTCCCGTAGTTTAGGTACGCCACATATGAAGAGTTTATTTAACCTCCCAGGACATCTGAGCTCTGCATTTATTCCTTGGTGTTGTCGATCGTTCTATCCTGGCAGGCTGAATGTTCTTGGAAAAACAAAATGTATAAAAAATGTTAGGTTTGTATTGAACTGGACCTTAAAATGTGTCTCAGCTCTAATAAAACACTAGAGCGTTGACGTACTGAGCTAACAGTTTTTATCTTTGCTAGCTTTTCTAAGTTTCAAAGTGGTTACAATTTGCCCTAAACAGTGTTTCTTCTAGATAACTTGCGATGGCGGGGCGCTCATCTCGTCAGTGATTTTTTTTGTCGATGAGGGGGGAAGACGGAGACACGTCTGAGCTGCGTGCTGTTTGTACTGACAGTTTTCGAGGTGGTTGGGGGTGTTCAGCGTGAGGGTTTACCATGAGGGAAGAGGCAGCATGCCATGCACAGTTGCCTGCCTTTAGCTTTTAGCTAACATGCTTGTATTGCACGCTGCTACCTTTGCGCTACGTCAGTGCCAACGAGAGGACAGGGGTGCGTGCAATTTGGTTCGGTAGGCAGGACGCTCGGTTCTGTTGACAGGGTGGGGCACTTGTATAATGGTATGGGAATGATGATCCTGTCACAAGAACAAATTTTGCTGGACGATTAATTGTCTCAGAAATAATTGCAATAAATGATAATGTTTGAAATTTGACAATGATTAGTCGTTGTCAAATTTAAGAAGAAATGAAGAAATGTTGGTTAATTTTTGTGTTTGGTACCTTTTTTGACCACCAGGTGGCAGTATAAGACTGTTTGAACCGAAGGATGGATAGTGAGGGAGCGAGCAGCGTGTCTCTTTAAGAAAAATGGGAGGGCAGCCCCTTGACATGACATGGGCTGTCTCTCTTCAGATCTCAAAATGGCGGACGCTCGGTGTGGTTTGAGCTCTTCAGCGTAGCATTTTTCACACCAAGCTTTTAATATAAAATCAGTAAAAAAGTTCTCAGCTTCTTTTTTCAGAGAAAAACAATTTTTTACACGAAGACACGGGTTCCAACTGTGAATTTTGGAGCTTCAACAAGACGGCGTTTTTTTCCAGAGGTCGGCCTGTTAGCTTAGCTCGTAGCTTAGCTTCTCAGCTTAGCTGCTTTTAACGATCCAAAAACACGATTTTGAACAGTTTTAATGGTTTTTAAGGAGAAAAGAGAAAGGGAGGGGTCAGTGAAGAGCACCGGAGTTGAGCCTTTTTATCCAGTGTCTTCAGTTGAAGGAGACACGAAGAAACGATAAAGCCGATAAATGAAAATGAGGTTGATCATTTTCATTTATCATGCGATTAATTGATTTATTGTTTATCGCGACAGGCCTAGGAAACACTGCCCTAAACATCCATGGATCGTTAAAACCTAAAAATCAGCAGTTAGCATCATGCTAACAGAACAATTGACTCACGGTGTCGTTTCTCCTCATCTCTGCCCGTACAGTGACGGAGCAGAAAACATGTACTTCTTCACGGCTCTGGCCCTGACCCTGAACGAGCTCGAGGAGGGCGTGGCGCCCACCGACAGCCGGCGGCGGCCTGACCAGCGTCTGATGGAGGACGGCCGCTGGGACGAAGCCAACGGCGAAAAGCAGCGTCTGGAGGAGAAGCAGCGTAGCGCTCGGCGCGAGCGCGAACGGGAGGCCGCGAGCCAGCGCGCCTCCAGCCAATCAGACGACGGTAAGAGCCAAACGTGTTTCTTCTATACTCCTCTCTACCGTTCTCGGGGAATAATCAAGGGGGGAAACAAATCTGTTATTCAAACCTTTTCTCTTCTAAAAGCTGTCGATGAGGACTCTTTTGCTGATCACTCCCTCAAAAGCAAGTATCCCTCTTTAATCTCCTCGACTCCCACTTCCTGGTCCCCAGTTCACGTTTGTCCGTTCGATTTTCTTCTTTACGCGTTCTCACAAGTCGTCTCTCTTTCAGGTGCGCCTCACGACAACTACAGAGCCCGGTGGTTCGAGCTCTGCCAGGACCAGTTCACAGGTGAGCAAGTTCATATCTATAAGGGAGGCTACTGGGAAGCCAAGGAGCTCGGCAGCTGGGAGGGATGCCAGGATATATATTGACCTCGGCGCTGGACGACCATCACAACGCCCCCCCGGTTGTCCCCACCCCTTCTTCTTGGATGACTGCTTCCCTCCAGCCGCTCTCTGTTCTAAGAGATCCCCCCGGACGGTCACTGCTGTCTTGAGAGGAAACAAGAAAGAGAGCAATTCTTCACCTCCTGCGTCCCACTTCGGCTGTCGTTTCCTTAAAGTCTTTATTGCTGTCGTTTATCTGAGGGGACTGGAGTTTAAACGAGAAAATGTCTTTGGGGTTCTTGGTTCGGGTCAGCGTAAGGAGGAAGGAATGAAATAAGCTGTGCTTCCAGTCAGTCAGATCAGGAGCAGAACAAGTTTCGAAGCGGACCCCAGCCTGCGTGTTAATGTGGCTCCTCTGGTGATAACGCTAAAACGATTACGGAACAACTTGGGTAATATATTCGTTTCTATTTAAATCTGATTGCGGAGTTGTTAAAATGTCAACTAGTGGCCTTCAAAACATTAAGAATTCTTGTGTTTGTCTCTGATTTTAGTGTCTTAATGTAACGTTGTGAAGGTTTGCTTGTGTTCGTGTGTATGACGGCGTTTCAGCTCTTCCATTATTAAAACAACAAAACACGGCAGCTGTGGATCACAGTGTGCTTAAGACTTGATTGTCTGGAATACTTGTCGACCATCAACACTGTCATATTTTATCTTTTTTTTTTTCCTTCAATGTAGGCCTAAGGGAAAATGTAAACAAAAACAAAAGTCATGGGTCGGGTACAAGGTCTAAATGTGTATCGTTGCCTTAAAAAGGAGCAAACTGCTTCAGCTTGTATTTACGTCACAGCTACAAGAACAAATCTAAATTTACGGTGAGTTTCTCATACAAACACTTTGTCCTCTGTTAAAGGGATAGCTTCAATCTTTTCAATTGGGGTTTTGTGGAAAGGTTATTAGCAGTTAGTATCTTACCTGTTGTCGATAACTTTTTGAACAACCTCAAATTGGAGGAATATGGTTTAATTTGGTCCAGAATAATAAGCAAACTGCTAAATGAGGCAAGCTAAGCTTAAAGTGGATTGCTAATGTCCTAAAACATCTGCAGTTGAGAAATTTAGTTTAGTATTTTACGTTAACGCTATTTTTATTTATTTTTTTGCAATGCCAGACATTTGAAGTTACATGACTCAGCAGAAATGGAGGCGCCATAGCTATACCAGAAATTAGCTAGCTGCTGCCTTAACGTAAAAAAATAAATAAATAAACATTTTAAATTAATTTAATAAAACTGTAAGGATTAATAAAAAACGTTCGAACGAACCTTTAGAAAATTTTAGAAATTGGAGTTTTAGGTGAGCAGCAATCCTCTTTAATCTTTTTTAGTCAATCCAGTCTCAGTGAAACTAATTCTCCAATCTGAGGTTCTTCAAAGAGCTATCTACAACAGGTAAGATATTGATTGCTTATAACCTTTCCACAGAATGTCACTTGTAAAGCTCTGAAATCCATTTTAAAATCTCACTTGAATGGTTTTATTCCACAACTGTTAATAAAACGACTCCTTTGTCCCAGTATTGGAATATTTTGTCATAAAAAAAAACGAGTTGGATTAAAATTCAACCAATTTTCAAAGCTGAGGTGAGTTGGTACGTTAAAAAAAAAATCCATAAACTAAACGCTGTGCTGAAAATAAAAAAAGACACATCGTGTGTCTGCTGAGGAGTTCGCACATATGCAAGTATAATTTAACACCAAAAACACGAGGTGTGTGTGTGTTTGTGTGCAATCCATCAATTTCTTTGTAAGTGTACTTAAAACATGAAGAATAAGCGGAAGAGTTTAAAAACTTTGCAAATAACGAGTTTATAAATGTGTAGAAATTCACACGATAGTATTGACAACCGTATTGTAGTTTCTTTTTCTTTTCTCCGATGTTTTTGGGTTCTTGTAATATTTGGAGAAGATTGTCTTCATTTTCAGGAAAAAGGGAGTTTATGTACTTGACTCGGCAGAGACATGACGTCGTTCAGTATTTTGTATTTGCACAGATTTCAAAACAATCTGTAATAAATACTGACATGTCAAATATGTTCTTATACTATTTTTTTATTCTATTTCTTTATAAAAAGTTGGAAATACTGTGAAACACTTATTTTTATCCACTATAGACAATACAGGAGGCTAGTTTTATTAAAGGGATTTTCTACTACTGTAACATTACTTCAAAAATTACAGAACAAATGAGTTTTTCCTGGTTTCTTTTGGGTTTGTGTCCACAACAAATACATTTCTGTCCAATTCTGCTATATTAAAATAATGGACCTCGTTAAAGGTTTAGCACTGTTACTAAGTGTGACGGAGCTTGATCAAAATCATTTCAAAATAAAACCTCAAAAGTTGTAGAAAGAATAAAAAAGTGTTTGGGTGTAAAACATTTAACCCATTATTGTTTGAAAATTTAACTAAATGTGTCCTGCTTTAAAAACTATTTACAGCAAAGTGGAAATAAAAAAAAACCAATTGAAAGCAAGTTTCTTCCATTTAGTAAAAAAGTATGTAATTTCAAAATCAATTAATCAGTCAATTTTATTTATAAAGCACCCTTCATATAAAAGCAGCTTAAAGTGTTGTACAGAATTATAGACAATAAACCCACAAGATAAAAGTAAACTGTGGAAGCCCATTTCCGCCATAAAAGAAAAAATAAAAGCCTAACAGGAAGTCATAATTTCGACTTTTAAAGTCATAATTATGAGAATAAAAGTCATAATTTCGACTTTTAATGTCATAATTATGAGAATAAAAGTCATAACTATGAGTTTTAAAGTCATAATTACTAGAATAAAAGCGATAATTATGACTTTAAAACTCAATCATGACTTCCTGTTGGGCTTTTATTTCATAGCGGAAATGGGCTTTGATACTAAATGCTATATAAAGTGGTGATGAAAAGATGTATACATTACATCCCATTATTTAAAAGGATTGATGTTTGAAGGCAGAGGGACATACACTGAAAGAATGAATCCATGTGCTGTACGCCACAGATATCATAAACATTTTTATATGCTTGTATATTATATCTATGTGCTATGCAGGAAAACTACCGGTGTCTGACAGGAAGTTGCATCCCTGTATAGTCATGGTGTCCGGCGAGGGGCAAACCTAAAAATTAAAATAGAAAAGTCAAAATGATGGCTTTAAAACTTGTAATTATGACTTTTATTCTAATATTTATGACTTTAAAAGTCGAAATAATGACTTTAAAACTCGTTATTATGACTTTTATTCTCATCATTGTGATTTTAAAACTCAAAATTATTACTTTTATTCTCATAATTATGACTTTAAAACTCAAAATTATTACTTTTTATCTTGTAATTATGACTTTAAAACTCGAAATTATGACTTTTATTCTAATATTTATGACTTTAAAAGTCGAAATTATGACTTTAAAAGTCAAAATTATGACTTTTATTCTCATCATTATGACTTTTAAACTCGAAATTATGACTTCCTGTTGGGCTTTTATTTTTTTCTTTCATGACGGAAATGGGCTTCCATAGCAAACAATACACACAAACACACACACAAAAAAAACCCCAACTCATTTGTATGGAACATTTATAGACTGAGCAGAGATGATCCAGTTCAGGACATGCAGTTAAAAAGATGGGTCTTGAGCCTGCTCTTAAAAACAACAACATTCTCTATGACCCTCAGGTTCTCTGGCAGACTATTCCACAGATTGGGGGGGGGGGGGGGGGGGGGCGAAC